CTCTCTCCAGGCCCGCCGGTCGATGGTAGCAAGCATCATTTTCTTCCATTTTTCCCAAAATCCTCCCGCCCCACACCCGTCACGGACAACGACCTCGACCTCGACGCCGCCGCTGGCCTCGCCTCCCTCGCCTTGTCCGGCATGAAGACCGCCGTCTCCGGCAAAGGCAAGCCTCGTGCCCCGCGCAAAATCGTCACCGCGACCAAGCCAAAGAAGGTGCTGACGCCCGAACAACGGGCGGAGGAGTCGGCCAAGAGGAAGAGCCGGAGGCACGCCGCGGACGCGAGGGGTGAAGCCGTCGCGGCTGCCGCCGCGCAGCAGGACGTCACCAACGCCCGCGTCGCGGCGGCAACGAGGGAGGCACTCTACATGCTAGGGTTAAACCCTAGCCAGCACGACCTCGTGAACGCCGCCGTGAACGCCGCCGTGGCCGCCGCGACCAGCACCGGTTCGTCCACGTTCTCTCAGATGGTGCTGCCCGACTCGCCCTGCGCGTCGGCTTGCACCCGGATACCCGGCTTCCACGTGTACCCGCAGGCCTCGCGCCTCTTCGTGGAGTGCTCGCCCGACGTGAGCGTGGTGGCACCTTCCACGCCCGCGCCCGCACCCATCGACCTCAACGCCACACCGGTATCGGTGGCTCGTCATCCAGAGGCGCGAGGAAATGTGCGCGGCAGATGTCGGGTGATACGTCTCCAACGTATCTATAATTTTTGATTGCTCCATGCTACTTTATCTACGGTTTTAGGAAATATTGGGCTTTATTATCCCCTTTTATATTATTTTTGGGACTAACCTATGAACTGGAGGCCCAATCCAGATTTGCTGTTTTATGCCTATTTCAGTGTTTCGAGGAAAATGAATATCAGACGGAGTCAAAACGGAACGAAATCAACTAGAGAAGTTATTTTTAGAAGGAAAGCAACCTGATGGACTTGGAGTGCACGTCAGGGGAGTCCCGGGCTGCCCACGAGGGTGGGGGACGCCCCCCCCCGGGCGCGCCCCCTACCTCGTGAGCACCCCGAAGGTCCACCGACGTACCCCTGCACCCATATATACCTACGTATCCTAAAACTTCCAGAACAGAAGATACATCGGGAGTTCCGCCGCCGCAAGCCTCTGTAGCCACCAAAAACCAATCGGGACCCTGTTCCGGCACACTGCCGGAGGGGGATCCCATCACCGGAGGCCATCTTCATCATCCCGGTGCTATCCATGACGAGGAGGGAGTAGTTGACCCTCGGGGCTAAGGGTATGTACCAGTAGCTATGTGTTTGATCTCTTTCTCTCTCTCTCTCTCTCTCTCTCGTGTTCCCTCTATGGCATGATCGTGATGTATCCCAAGCTTTGCTATTGTAGTTGGATCTTATGATGTTTCTTCCCCTCTACTCTCTTGTGATGAATTGAGTTTCCCCTTTGAAGTTATCTTATCAGATTGAGTCTTTTATGAGAACACTTGATGTATGTCTTGCCGTGCTTATCTGTGGTGACAATGGGATATCATGTGCCACTTGATGTATGTTTCGGTGACCAACTTGCGGGTTCCACCCATGAACCTATGCATAGGGGTTGGCACACGTTCTTGACTCTCCGGTAGAAACTTTGGGGCACTTTTTGAAGTACTTTTATGTTGGTTGCATGAATCTGAGATTGTGTGATGCATATCGTATAATCATGCCCACGGATACTTGAGGTGACAATGGAGTATCTAGGTGACATTAGGGTTTTGGTTGATTTGTGTCTTAAGGTGTTATTCTAGTACGAACTCTTTTATAGATTGATCCGAACGAATAACTTTGAGGTGGTTTCGTACCCTACCATATTCTCTACGTTTGTTCTCCGCTATTAGTGGTTTTGGAGTGACTCTTTGTTGCATGTTGAGGGCTTGTTATATGATCTATCTATGTTATTATTGTTGAGAGAACTTTCACTAGTGAAAGTATGAACACTAGGCCATGTTTTCTATCATTGCAATACCATTTACGCTCACTTTTACCACTTGTTACCTTGCTGTTTTTATAATTTCAGATTACAAAAACCTATATCTACTATCTTTTTTGCACTTGTATCTTCATCTCTTCGCCGAACTAGTGCACCTATACAATTTACTATTGTATTGAGTGTGTTGGGGACACAAGAGACTTTTTGTTATTTGGTTGCAGGGTTGTTTGAGAGAGACCATCTTCATCCTATGCCTCCTACGGATTGATAAACCTTAGGTCATCCACTTGAGGGAAATTTGCTACTGTCCTACAAACCTGTGCACTTGCAGGCCCAACAACGTCTACAAGAAGAAGGTTGTGTAGTAGACATCACCGGCCGACGTGGTACCGGACGCCCGCAACCTGTTCGACGAAATGCCGGCCGCCGGCGACGAGGACTACATGCAGAACCTCATCTTCGAGGGCAGTGCGCCGACCGCTGGCTATGACCCCGAGGAGACAGAAAGCCAGGACGGCCGCGGGGCGTTCACTCCGGGCACTGGCTATGATCAGTCGGCCTTCATGCGTGGTCATGTCGGCATCGACCTGGACGGCTTCCCACTTGACCACGAGTTTTCGGACGACTACGGGCAAGAGGAAGAAGACGAGTGCGACATCGAAGTGGAGCCTTTGTTTGAGGACGAGCTCGCCAACTAAGCCGCCGGGCTGAAGCCGAAGCGTAAGAGCAAGCGCATGCAGACATACACGGCGGCTGAGGACAAACTTCTTTGCAAGTGTTGGAGGGACATTGGACAAGACCCCAAGACCGGCGCCGAACAAAAGCATTCAACTTTTTGGATTTGTGTCCACACGGAGTTTCATGAGCGCAAGAAGTTTCCTCCTTACCAAATTGTGAGCACGTGTGGGTGGGTGTCCATTTCGAAGCGATGGAGAGTGATCCAACAAGAGTGCAACAAGTTTTGTGCCACTCTTGAGAGCGTCAAAGCCCGCCCCGTGAGCAGTATCGGCATGCAAGACATGGTATGGTAGGAAGCCGCCCTTTTTTGTGCCATTAAGTTCATGCTTGCATGTTCATCAAGTCCCAACCCTTTTTGTGTGTTGGCATGTGTGTCGGCCGATGGCGAGTGCGCCAACATGAACTGTGTGGTGTATTTTTTGAAGCCGGCAATGTATGCTGACGCTGGCATGGTGCCGGCATGAGACATGACCGCTGACATGATCTATGACCGCGGGCCTTTTTTAAAATTTAAGTGCGGATATGAAAATGGATCAGCGCGTTGGACGCACTGCCGATCCAAATGCAAAACAGGGCGGACGATGGACGGACGATCGACCCAAACGGACATAAAGCGAACAAATGCGCCGTCTGTTTGAATCGGCCCGTTGGAGCTGCTCTTAGGTCCCGGCAGGGATTGGATCTAAGAAGAACTCGAAGATTTATAATCTGAGATCTGGTGGACGTAATTGCAGTAGAGAAGAACGCTTCGAATCTTATTTGATGTCCTCGAGCATCAAACGACGGGAAACACGGCGTAATAAGTGTACGAGAGTTCCTGACAGAGCTCTTCCATGGTGGGTGACGATGGGAGGAGGAAGAAGGTCTCTGGCAGCAATGGGGAATAGTGGATCCGCACAGCATACTCGATGGGTAGAGAGGTGGTGACTTTTTGCGTTGCTGGACGCAAACAAGAGAGAATTCCTTATTTAACACTATGTCTAAATTTTATGCCCTATTTGACATCGACAAATAGTTTCTTCCCTATATAGCAACGAGTCTAAATTTTATGCCTTTTATAACACTCATGTCCATTTTTAGCCTAAATGACATTTGAAAAGACCCTTTTGCCCCTCAAGTGGTATGTTTGGGCGCACGTGCTGTTCAATGATTTCTTTATCATTTTTATTAATAATTATTATACTATTAATTGTTAGATTTTCTTATGGAGCTCACATAATCTATTTTAAATATCTGAGTTTTCTTTTAGTGCAGGATCTCCAAGGGAGAATATATGTATGTCTAGATACATTATATAGTGGATGCATACATTATATGGTCTATCATTGCCTTTGTACGTAGTGCATGGCAAAATTGCCCACGCGTACAATTGCATGCATGCATTGAAGGCCATACACGGCAGTAGCATGTACTCTGTACGTGGCTTATGGCTCTAGCAGATGTATGTTGTATGCATACAATTCTGAATACCCATACGTCTATGCTGCACGTACAGAATACACATAGCCATGTATGTGTGTGCGTGTGTACGTGCGTGTTTGTGCTGCTGCGTGCGTGTGCGCTGTTGTGTGCGTGCATGCCTATGTGCAGTGTGCTGCTCTGTGCGTGTTCCTGCCGATGCGTGCGTGTGCGCTACTGCCCCATTGATGTTGTGTGTATACTACTGCACCTCACACACACATATATCACATGAGGGGCAAAAGGGTTTTTTTATGTGTCATTTAGGCTCAAAATGGATAAAAGTGTCATAAAGGGCATAAAATTTTAACTCGTTGTTAGATAAGGAAGAAAAAGTTTTTGAGTGTTAAATAAGGAAACAAAATTTAAAATAGTGTTAAATAAGGAATTCTCTCCGCAAACAAACGCATACCCTGTTCCCCTATTAATGCTGGCCCACAATTTCAATGCGTATCTGACCCACAATGTCATTTCTCCATTCAAGAGAGGGACTTGGAGCCGAGAAGGGGGAAGACAAGTCATTCTCTAGCGCTAGAATCACTTCCACAGTGGAGTCACTCCCTCTCCCTGTCTTCCTCGAACTCCCTCAGATCCGCACGAACCCGACCTTCCCCTCTCAATCCGAGTAGCGACGGGACAACCATAGGCGGGCAGGAATCCATCCAGGTAAACCCACGCATCGATCCACGCTTTCCCACTCCTGCTCAATCTTTGAGAACTAGCTAGGTCTCGTTTCATTCTTTTTGCCAACGAAGTTCCATGCTCTTCATGCCATGCATGTCTTTTAGCTTTAGATTTCAGCGGGCTGGTTGGCACAAGTTGCTGATGTGCTCTTTTGTTTCTTGTTTTGAGTAGCGGGGGCAATGGCAGCCGGAGGGGTGTCGCGTCTGTGGAGGGAATGGGGGATTCAAATCCTTGTCCTTCTGAGCTTCGCGCTGCAAGTACTCCTCCTCGTCTTCGGAGGGATGCGTCGGCGTGGCCTCTCCACCTGGCTGAGGGTAGCCCTCTGGTTAGCGTACCTGTCGGCGGATTCCACGGCGATATACACCCTGGGCCATCTATCCATCACCAGCGGGTCACGTGAGCACCAGCTGGCCGCGTTCTGGGCGCCCTTCCTCCTCCTGCATCTCGGCGGGCCATACAACGTCACCGCCTACGCGCTCGAGGACAACCGTCTTTGGTTGCGCCACCTGCAGACCCTTGTTGTGCAGGTTCTTGGAGCTGCTTATGTCCTCTACAAGTACATGGCCGACAGCGGGACCTTGCTTCAGCTGGCCTCAATCTCCATGTTTGTTGCCGGCATTGTCAAGTACGGTGAGAGGACATGGGCTCTCAAGCGTGCCAACGACAACAAGAGCAGCTCTGGTAAGGAGGTTAACCCTTATGAATTATTGAGACAGGATATGGGTGACGATGAAATCCTGCTCCGAGCGCACTCCCAGTTCGCCTTCTGCAAGTCCGGCTTCGACGATACCAAGGTGGCAATGCGCCCCAAGCCCCCAAACGCGGCTTCACCTCGTCTCTCACCTTTCTATGACGAGGATATATTCAAGTTGGTGGAGATGGAGCTGTCCCTGATGTACGACACACTGTACACCAAGGCAGCAGTGATCCACACATGGTATGGGTTCTGCATCCATTCCATCTCGCTGGTTGGCACATCAGCTGCCTTGTGCTTGTTTCGGCTCAGGCTCGGCAGAGGGGATCATGGGTACAACAGGGCAGATGTAGCCATCTCTTACATTTTGCTGGCCGGGGCTTTGGTCCTGGAGGTCATATCAGCATGCAGGGCAGTATTGTCTAGTTGGACATGTTGTTTCGTTCTCCGCAAGGCGGAGGATTACAGCGGGAGCACTCGGGCTGCTTGGCTAGAGTGGCTTCACTATTATGTCCTCTCTTCACTTCGCAAGCTTTTCAAGCCGGCAAACAGGAGACTATGGCGGGGCACCATTGGGCAGTATAACATGCTCCATCTGTGCACCCGGGACCGGACCGGCCTTGGGAGCAAGCTGGCAGCGAAGATAGGGCAGGAGGACTGGTGGAACAAGCTGCATTTCTCGGGCACTTTCTGTGGCACTGATTCGTTGTCGATGCAGCAACTTAAGGGATTGCTCTTCAAAATGATACGGCAGAATGGGTTTGTGACGCTCCCGGGCCCTTTGAGCACAATGACCACAAGAGGCAGCTTTATCCTGGAGCGGAAGCAAGCGTTCAAGGGTGTTGCCAAATGGACTGTGCTCAACGTTGAGTTGGACGAGAGCATCGTTATATGGCACATCGCAACTGATTTGTTCATCTGGGAATCCAAGGCTGGCCATGAAGTAGAGCTTATTGAGGCTACAAGGGTGCTATCCAATTACATGATGTTCCTGCTGGTGGCAAAACCCAACATGCTACCTGGCCGTGAACGCAACACGGTACATCTTAGGCCCTCCAGGATCCTGGAAACAATATGGCGGGTACATATCTTAGGTAACGAGGACAAATCTGTGAGGGCATCTCCCGGAAGCTGGAATAAGTGCTGTGTAGTACTTAAGGAATTGTTTCACCATGAAGGCCCAAATGGCTCCAGGATCAATCGGGCTCAGAGGGAGAAGCTTGCCGAGAGACTGCTTGCCAACTGGTCTTATGTGCATGTTGCTGTTCAGGCCCTCAATTTAATTATCTTATATTGTTTGAAATTACTTTACCACATGCACTAATTTTTTCCCTCTATCTTAGGCGCAGCAACTTGATTCGCATCCAGAGGTTCTTGAAGGGTCACGTGACGAGTTGTACACGTGTGCAGTCAATCTCACCAAACAGCTCCTCCACTTGGGTAGGCCTGACACGTTGGAACTCATCTTCTCCGTGTGGGTGGAGATGATGCTTTATGCTGCGGATCACTGTCCCCGGGATTCCCATGCCAGGGAGCTCAGTAATGGCGGCGAGTTTATCACCATCCTGTGGCTTCTGGAACAGCACTGGACGTACGTCTACAAACACAAAATAGCATGTTAGTGACATGTTGATCAATGGAAAAGAAAAATAAATAAAGGAAGCATTTCTTTTGCAAAAAGACTAGAGTTGGTTTAATGTGCAATTGTGCATGTAAAGATATGAAACGATCCAAGGTGCACAAAAGGCACAGAACAAAAAAAAAAACTAGCGTTTGTTGAAATTACATGGAGCTTCTGAATTGAGACATATTGTCAGCCTCTCCTCACGCCACTTCACCATTTTAGAGCCGTATAAGGAGCTCGATGATCTTGCTGATGATTAACGACGTGTAATAATTAATAATGTATGCTGTGTTTTCTTTAACTGTATGTTGTGTTTCCTGTTGGAAACTGTTTCTATCGAATTGTATTAGACTCTCTGCTATCCGATCTGGGAGGATTCGATATTGTGCTCTCGATCGCTTAATTTTTCAGCCATGGTAACCTGATCAATGACTTGTATTTTTAGTGTTTATTATGAAATGGATAATAAGATTGGGAGCGTGGGTTTCTTAATTTGGAAACAAATTTGTTAATTAATGGGAGTACCTAGAACTCATCTAGATGAGATATAATTTGGTCTCATTCACTTTGAAAACAAGAACAGATACAACCCACGTCAGCACACACATATCTTATAGCATCACATCCAATGGCTATAAAAAGTAAATGAGACCAAATTATATCTCATCTAGATGAGTTCTAGCAAAACTGTTAATTATAAGCATTACTGGGACATCACCACCACGGAGAGGTCTCTCTTGGTCTAGCTCTATCCCACGCTCACAGGTGTGTCCACTCACCAAAGACTACCCTAAGGCCCCGCTTGGATGACCATCTTTTAGGCCAAAACCAGCGTAAAATAGGGCTATGGATTGTTAATCCCCTCCAGCTGGAAAAACGCACTTGGTTGGTCATTTAAGCCTTGTACTATGCAAGATGTTTAGGGGAGGTGCTTGAAATAAACCAGACTTTTTTTAAGCACGGGTGCTTATTTGTACAGGGTACACTTAACTAGGTGTCTCTCCTGTAGAAATAGGCACCGGTGTTTCAGAAAAATCCGGTTTATTTTTCTAAGCACCCCCTAAACATCTAGCATTGTACAAGGCCTTAGAGCATCTCCAGCTGTTCGGCCCCCTAGGATGTCGAAAAAGCGTCGTCTGGTGCCGAAGCGGCGTTAATTTCGACGTGGGGCAAACCAGCCCCCTCCCCCCGGTTGCCCCAAATCGGCCAAACACGACACAAAATCCGTCCAAACTCGGCGATTTCATTTAAATTTGTACAAAAAACAAAAAAAAACATGATTTAAAACAACTACACGTAGCCCTACTACGCCGCTGTCGCCGCCCGCCTTCTACATGCCGAGGAGCCTGTAGAACCGGGTGTAGTCGCCGCCGCCGTCGTCGTCCTCGTCGCCGCCCTGCGTCCCGCCGCTGCCGCCGTCGTCCCTGCTGCACCCCTGACCAAGGTCGCCAACCCGCGGGGGGTTGGACGGCCCGGGCGCGTCCTCATCGTCGCTGTCGAGGACGACGACGCCGCCCTCCTCGCGTCCGCGGCGCCGAGCTTTGATCTCCTCGTAGGCCCGGCGCTGGCGCTCCACCTGCTTGCAGACGTAGTCCGCCTTCGCCCACTTGAGGGTGGTCTCATCGTTGGCGGCCATGTCCTCGTGCTCCTTCTTCACGGGGGGCAACCCCGGCTCCGTCTTCGGCCGGATGAGGCGGTAGGAACGAGGGAAGGGGCAGCTGCCCTCGTTGATGACGAGGGTGCAACTGCGGGTGCGGCGCCCAAGCGGCGTCTCCTGCGGCTCCGGCTTGACGGGGCAGAGCGCCGGTGACCCGGAGGAAAGGGAACCGGAGCCCGGCGATGAGGAGGTCGCCGTCTCCATTCGCCGCGGTGTGCAGGAACTACCGCGACGGCAAGAGAAGGACGAGGGCGCCGGGTACTCCAAGCGCGGTGTGTTGTCGTTCTCGATGTGGTCGAGGACTGCTTCGAGGGTGCGGCCAGGAACGCCCCACCATTCGCGCTACCCGTCGGAGTTGACACCGTTTGTGGAGGCGACTTGATCGGCGTGGCGGTGATAACCCACAAGTATAGGGGATCACAACAGTTTTCGAGGGTAAAGTATTCAACCCAAATTTATAGATTCGACACAAGGGGAGCCAAAGAATATTTGCAAGTATTAGCAGCTGAGTTATCAATTCAACCACACCTGAAGATTAATTATCTTCAGCAAAGTGATCAGTAGCACAATAATATGATAGTTTTGATAATAGTGGTAACAGCAATAGTAACGGTAATAGTGATAACAATATTTTTGTAGCAACTGCAATAGTGACAGTAGTAATAGTAACTTAGCAAGAACAATATATAGCAAAATCGTAGGCATTGGATCGGTGATTCGTTGGATGATATTCATCATGAGACAGTCATAACCTAGGGCGATACGGCACTAGCTCCAGTTCATAAAAATAATGTAGGCATGTATTCCGTAAATAGTCATATGTGCTTATGGAAAGAACTTGCATGACATCTTTTGTCCTACCCTCCCGTGGCAGTGGGGTCCTATTGGAAACTAAGGGATATTAAGGCCTCCTTTAATAAAGTACCTGAACAAAGCATTAGCACACGGTGAATACATGAACTCCTCAAACTACGGTCATCACCCGGAGTGGTCCCGACTATTATCACTTCGGGGTTGCCGAATCATAACACGTAGTAGGTGACTATAACTTGCAAGATCGGATCTAGAACATGGATATAATGGTGATATCATAAAAGGTTCAGATCTGAAATCATGGCACCCGGGCCCGAAGTGACAAGCATTAAGCATGACAAAGTCATAGCAACATCAATCTTAGAACATAATGGATACTAGGGATCATGCCCTAACAAAACTAACTCGATTACATGATGAATCTCATCCAATTCCTCACCGACCAGCGAGCCTACGAAGGAATTAGTCACTCCCGGTGGGGAGCATCATGGAATTGGCGGTGGAGAAGTGTTGGTGATGACGAAGATCCAAGATCCCCCTCTCTGAAGCCCCGAATGGACTCCAGATCTGGCCTCCCAATGAAGAACAAGAGACGGTGGCGGCTCCGTCTCGTGAAACACGATAATTCTTTCTCCCTGATTTTTGTGTGGAAAACTAGGATTTTATAGCGTCGGTTTTAGGGTCTGCGGGGCCACCAGGTGGGGACAACCCACTGGGCGCGCCTGGAGGGGGTGGCGTGCCCTGTTGGATTGTGCCCACCTAGGTGCCCCCTCCGGTGCTTCTTGGCTCCAGAAATTCTCTTTTATTGTATAGAAAATCCTCGCAAAGTTTTGTTCCATTCCGAGAACGTTTCTTTCTGCATAAAAACAACACCATGGTAGTTCTGCCGAAAACAGCGTCAGTCCGGGTTAGGTTCATTCAAATCATGCAAATTAGAGTCCAAAACAAGAGGAAAAGTGTTAGGAAATGTAGATACTACGGTTTTGTATCAACTCCCGCAAGCTTAAAAGTTTGCTTGTCCTCAAGCAATTCAGTTTGATAAGCTGAAAGTGAAAAAGAAAAACTTTTACGAACTCTTTTGCTCTTGTTTCCATGAATAAGCTTAAACAACACCCAGGTTTTCAGCAAAGATTATAACTGACCATGTCGATAATAACTCTTAAAAATTATATTGACTCATATCAATGACATAATCAACTAGAGAGGAATAATAAGACATCTCAAACAGCAACACGTTGTCAAAACAACCATGATACAATATGACAATAGTGGTATCTCACTAACCCTTTCTGAGACCGCAAAATATAAATGCAGGGCACCACCAAAGTTCAAGCAGTGACTAAACATTGTAATTCATGGTAGAAATGATCCAGTCATGATGCATCCAACATTAGCTACACACAATGCATTAGCATGACAGCCGTGCTCTCAGGTTCTGGCGCTTATTTGAGAAGGCGATGACATAACTTAAAAGTAAATAGATAGTCCCTTCGTAGAGGGAAGCAATGATTTGCAGAGGTGCCAGAGCTCAAGTTTTTTTAAAACAGAGGAAATAAAATTTTGAGACATGCACCCTTCTTGTTTACTTCGCGACTATCAGTTATCTGTATCTTCCATGCTAAACACATTAGTAGCGGTTCCCAAGCGATAAAGTAAAGGTTATTGCTCCATAGGAGTTTTTGTTTGATTATTGATAAGTTCTTTTTGCAATCTGGGACTGGGAGTCCCTATTACCACTCATTTTCTCGTGCAATGGTGAGTGAATAAACACCCAACCTGAGAATTACCCGCTTAGCATGGAAGATATCAACTACCTCTTGTCGCTCTATGAACAATTTAGACACACAAAAAGGATATTTATTTGAAGTTTTTACAGGTGGCATGTGCAAATTTACTTGGGACGGCAGGGTAATACCGCATATAGGTAGGTATGGTGGACTCATCTGGAATAACTTGGGTTTAAGATTGTTAATGTACAAGCATAATTCCCACTTAGTACAGGCGAAGGCTAGCAAATAGGTAGAGAAATAACCAGCCAGAGAGCAACAACAGTCATGAACATGCATTATGCATAAGTAACATTAGATACTAGCATGAGTAGGATATGAACACCATGAACATAAATATCATAGAGGCTATGTTGGTTTTGATTCAACTACATGCATGAACATGTGCCAAGTCAAGCCACTCGAACATTCATAGGAGGATTTCATATCATCATATTACATTACAATCATTTTAACGCAATATTGACGTCCAAGATAAATCATTATCCACTCCTAGCTACTTATGCATGGTATGAGAAACTATAATCTTTAAATGTCATTGCGAACATTTTTTATCATAATAGGCTGAATCATGGATATTAGGTTAAACATATTTACAAAAACAAAACAAGTCGAGTTCATACCCGTTTCTCTCTGCCACGACTAGTTCATCGAATATCGTCATTATTGCCTTTCACTTGCACGACCGAACGATTTGAAATAATAATAGTGCAAGAGTGCTGTGGACTAAGCTGGAACCTG